TGCAAAAGTATTTAAAAGTCTGAAGACTCTTTTCCCATCTGCCTCAAGGGCTTTTATAGGGGTGTCCCTCTCAGATCGGGCATAACCGCCACTGGGCCACTGTCATAGCCGTTACCTGCCAGGGCTGCGTAGGTGGTCGTTGCGACGTACCCCTTGCTCAGATGGGTGACACGTATCCAAAGGGTAGGCACGCCTCCGCCTGCTGATAGACGTGGGCGCAGATTGTTGAAAGGACAGGGACTGCGCCATTAGTCAAGGGACGTGGCGCAATTTGATTGGTACGGTCTGTCAGATAGAAGATTCCTGAGAAACGCTCGCGCTGCTCACTTGCGAGCCATTTTGTAGCGAGCTTAGGAATACTTCAAGGTTACCCTTCTAATGACTTATCTGCTTAGGGGCTTGAGCGAGCTGGTTTCCCTAGCTCGCGAGCTAAGGTAGCCTCGGAATATCCTCTTCGGGGTAGCTCAGGGAACCCAGAGCTCGTGTTGTAGCGAGCTCCTTCTTCAGCGAGCTATGATAGCTATAAATATACAACCCTAGCAAGTGCACTAGTTATCAAGTAGTATAAAATATCGTTCCCAAGGGAATTTAACAAAAAAAAGTATTAGAATCACAGTCTTCCCTAATTATCTGGACAAACGAAATTCAGATTTTAGCAAGAACTACTGAAATTAAAAACTAGAAAAAGAAAATAGATTTAAGGGTGATCACTAACCGAATATGCAATGGATGAAATCGCTAGGGCTTTTGGTCCACCTAACCAAGGTTATGAATATTGTTGGGTTCGATTAACCAAGATTATTTGTCATTCCCATAAGCTGAGGTCTTTCCAATGTTATTTAATATTCTCTCTCCAGATATCTAAACCTACGCCCATCAGGTAACCCTTCGATCTCTCAAATAGAGCTCTCAAGATGGGAGTGCATTAAGTCCAAGAAAACCGTTAAATTCAGATGAATCATGTATATATATCTCTATATACCATTCAATTCACACTATGAATTATTCAGTCGATTATGTGGATTCTTCTCTCGATTCATTCACATAACTCAAATCAATTAAGAGGTGGCCAAGCTCTTAATTGCATTAAGCACAATAATTCATAGACTATATGGAAATCATAGAGCTAAAAATATATTCATTAACATGGTTTAGGCTTTCCACAGTCCTAACAAGAAACAAATCAGTTCATGATAAAAGAATTAAAGCAAACAAAGAGAAAGAAAGAACTCTTGAATTCGCCCATGGTGCTGAGATATCCTCTTCTTGCCGCCTTCTTCTTGAGCTTTCTTGAATTCTTGACCCTTTCTTGACTGATTGCTCCTTGCTTCTTGATTCAATCCCCAAGATTGAGTGATGCCTCCAGTTAGTCCACCTCCCCCCCCTTTATATAGCTTAAAGGGGAGGGGGTGGTCTCCTACTTCCTCTTGAAGTTTATCTTACAAGAATAGAAAGTCCTATTCTAATCCTACTCTTATCTCTTTATCTAATGAACTCAATCCCTTTATCTTTCTAAGATTACATCAAAAATTTAGATCTGGAAGGACTCCTCTCAGTTTCTTGTTCTTGGATTCGTATTAAACCTCCTCTGCGAATTCGGCTTCAGCTAGGCTTTTCTGCAAGTTGGGCTTCAGCTGCGGATTGGGCCTTCCTACGAATTTGCCCTGACTTCGGACCCAGATATGACTTTGATGCAGGCCGAATCTGCGAAAGCCCAAAACGTGAAAGTTGTGTATTTTTCTCTTATCTTTCTAGTGGGTCTTCAATCAGCCCAATCAGAGATCGGATACGCGAGTTAGGCCCAGATTAATGAACAATGTCGAAATTGTGAAAAATCATCCGATTTGTCTTTCTTTACTCCTGATGCCTTCTTTCATGCCCTAAACCGAAATAAAAGAAATATGAGTCTAATTAAGTATAAAAGACAGAATATTAGGGGATAAAATATGATAGATTTTATTCTCATCAAATCCCCCCACACTTAAACTCTTGCCCGTCCTCGAGCAAGACAAAACCAAGTCTCCTTCCTCTTTCTCCACAAATATTCTAGGTTAACTATTGCAAACCATTAAATCAACACAACCAAGTTATACTCAACACATCTATCAGTCAATCCAATTCTTGCTACTGCAAACCAGATAGTAAATCAGGGAAAACCTCTCTCTTTTTTTTTTTCTGGAGTGAGTGCATTTTATGCTCCGTCTCACTTTTGGATCACTCGGCTAGTAGGTGCATTTTATGCTCCATCCTACTGTTGAATTTGCTGGATAGTAGGTGCATTTTATGCTCCATCCTACTATTGAATTGCTTGGTTGGTAGGTGCATTTTATGCTCCATCCTACAATTGAATTACTTGATTGGTAGATGCATTTTATGCTCCATCCTACCAATTGTAGCAATGGTAAAACAACTACCCCATTTACTTAAACCTGAATTTAGGACTAGCTTAACTAGAAATGGCTTTAGATAAATCATGTACCCCTTGATCGTACCTTATTACTAGGTTCACAAGAGTTTTCCTAGAACATTGTTTCAATTGATTTCAAAAGAGTTGAGGTTTTGATTTTTTTTTTGTATGAATCATAAAAAAAATGACATAAATCAAAAAATTCTAACCTAAATCCAAAATCCTAAATGTGAGGTTAAATGCAAAGAAGCAAAACTAAACTAGAAAGAAAGAAAAAGGAAAAAAACAAACTTCCCTATCGTGAATCAGATCCTCTAACTCTCGTGGTTTCAGCTTTCGGTGTGCTTCCCTTCCATCCATCATGGGTGGGTTTAAATATGGAACAGGGGCCTGCAAAACAGAGGGTAACGGTCTCTTATTAGAAATCGGCAACATAATATAATGAGCATTACCTTGTCCTTCTTGACCGTCCTCCAAATAATTCAGAACCTTCTAACTTCCTCATCCAAGTTATCTTTCAAAACTCTTTCAAGGTAAGGGAGAGGAAGTTTAATAGCATCTAAACTCAGTTTAGGTGTACTCCCTTCGATCTCCATTTGAGAATCGGCTGCCTCAACTTCCTTGTCATCATTCTGGGTCTCATGAATGGCATTCACTTGCTCCCTTGGATTCTTCTCTATATTGCTAGGCAATCGTCCCTCTCTTCTTTCCGACAACAGATTTACAATCTGCCCCACTTGAACTTCTAATTTCTTGATTGATGCTTCATGACTAAGAACCTCTTATCATGCTCTTGGAACCTTGCTTCAGTAGCATTAATGAACTTAGAGATCATTTCTTCCAGATTACACTTTTTTTCTTGTGGAGGCAGCTGTTGTTGGAATTCCATGAGTGCCATTGGTTGATTGTTGCTCCATGAAAAGTTTGGATGATTCCTCCACCCTAGGTTGTATGTATTTGAATATGGGTCAAAGTTTGACCTGCCAACATGAGAGATAAAATTAGCATTTTCATGGGAAATAAAAGGATTATTTAATTGACAATTAAAATTAGTATGTCCTATTTGACCACATAAATTGCATGAAATGCTAGATGAAGCATTAATAGCTGCAACATTAAAAGTGTCAAGTTTCTTATTCAGATTAGCAAGTTGAGCCAATATGGCTGAAAGGGGATCGATATGGTGTACTCTCTTTTGATAGGTTCGGTCATTACTCCATTGGAAGCTATTTGATACCATTTCTTCAACTAGATCATAGGCTTCCTCTGGAGTTTTCGGGGAAATTGTTGAGCCCCCTTGATTTGCACATGCAACCGGTAGATGCTGGCATTCAGAGTACGAATCTAGGGTTCCACCGCAACTAAAGGAACACTGGTGGATTGTTTACCTTTTAACCCCTTTATTGTCCACCGAGGCCTGCATGGCGGCATTGAAGGCGGTGGTGGAAAGAGGAGAAACTTTGAGCTTTACTACGATGACGACTCTAGTTCAGCACTCCATCTACTGACCATAAGCATGTCAGATTTCTTGATGGGTTCAGGCTTTGACCATTTTCTCGAATAGCTGGCTCAGATTGAGATCAACAGGGTGGGGCACTATGAACATCCCTTGGCATCAAAGGCTATCGTCGAGTCCATGCCGACCATTGAGATTGTCAACAACCATGCTGTCACTGAGTTTCACTGTGTTGTCTGCAAACAGCCCTTTGAACTTGCACAAGTGACGGCAAGAACCACCCGCCATTAGTGAACGCGAGCAAAACTGAAGCAAAACCCATGGCAAGAGGACCAAAGATCAAAGAATAAGCCCCTAAAGCTCTACTAAACCGAACACAAACTACAAATAGAATAGAACAAATAGAAACCATAACCCTCTGCAAGATCAAGAAACAAAGAGAATGAGAGGGGGAGGAGAGAGAGGGAGAGCGGGGGAGACAAAAAGAATAGATAGAGAGAGAGAGGGTGCAAAAAATTTTTCTGCATCCTAAATTCCTAAAGTGAAAGAAACTGAATCTCCTCACACGTTGGAAGGGGAGTCATGCACAAAATAACAGATTATCCTCACAGGCTCACTTTATAATCCTCACGTGAAGATACCATTCTCTCATCGTTGAATGCATCCACGTATCTCTATAAGATAAGATATATAAGATATATAAGATGTGTTGAACTATTACTAAAAACACAAATAGAGAGCATTAGCATGCAAAAGGACCGAACACACACAGGACATTCATTACGACACATCATCCCTCTGAATTTGAGCAATTTTCGTTGGAATGACATAAACTAGACACGATGGGCCTGAGTTGTGCAAGATTGGCTACTGCGTCACCACACCTGTTTGCTTCACAGAAGCAACATTTGTTCATTTATTTATTATTCCTTGGACTCTCTTGTTCAGGTCCGTTACGAAGAAAGCTAACACGTACCCATCATTTCGCGACGTCACGTCCACTAAAGATTAAAGACACATGAAGTACGTCTGCAGTTCTTCGTGTCTCTTCTTCTTCTTCTTCTTCGTCTACTTCGTTTCTCTTCTTCTTACTTGCCATTCCCACTTCCTCTCACTTGCTTTTAAAGGACGAACTCGATGCAGCTAGCTACTGAGCACTTCTGTGTTCACAACAGAAATAGAGAGAAAATGCTTACTTGGATCATTACCTTGTTTCTCTTAATAGCAACTGTTTCATGCAGTCAAGAAGAAGATGGTATGGCTATATGGGCTCGAGCAGGCATCCTTGGCAACAGCACCAGTCATGTCATGGTACGACAACGGGCAGTTCGCATGGCTAGCAGTAAGCTCATGCAAGCTAGAGACTGGGCTTTGGGATCATCAAGATTACAGAGTCTTGACCATCAAATGGCTTGCAGTGAAATTGCTTTGAGTGACTGTGTTAATCTTTACGAGGATACTAATTACAGGCTTCAGCGCTTATTTTTACGCCATAGACATGATGATGCACGTACGTGGCTCAGCGGGGCTCTCACCAGCCACAGGACTTGCTTGGAGGGGCTTCGTGAGATGAGTTGTTCTGTTCCTCAAGCTTTGCAAAATCTTACTACCATACTCAGTAAAACTTTGGCTCTTTATGCACAGCCGTCCAGTGAGAACGGTAAGCTTCTTTCATGAATTTGGGTTTATTAAACCATTAATTTGTCAAAAAATAAAGTTATGTGACTTTTGCACGTTTCTTCCATTTTAGATAAGAAATTCGGTCTTACCACCTTGGGTCTAGTTATTTAGTTGGATTCATGCTTAGCGATTAGCTGATATGTCAAGTTGTCAACAAAACAAATACAGTACGAGAAAATATCACATATGAATACCAAGGAAACTTCTGGGGTTGCCTAATCAGGGCTATTTCGTCGGTACATGTGGCAAAGAAAAGTAGAACAGGGAGGGGTAAGTTGATTAGATTTTTTTTGGTAGTAGGGTAATTTGATTATTTTGAGTTCCTAACAAGTTCACTTAATTGATATGTAGATCATGAATTGCAAACCGGGTCAAAGAGGTAAAAAAGTCCAGGTTCCAACCCGTAAATTAACTCGAAAATGTAAATGATCCGGATATGGATACACATCCATGAGATCAAACTATGATAAAAAAAATGGGTTTAATTGAGTTAGGTTAAAGGTCGGATTAAGGCATGTTTGGTTTTTTCTTTTTTTTTTTTTGGTTTGATATTTTAACAAAATTTTTCTCAACTGTCTGTCATACCAAACACAAACACAAGCACAGCCTCAAGGTCAGGTTCGGTTAATCCAACCCGCTGGATTCAAGTTGGGTTCGAATTGATTATTTTATTTTGTTTCACTAAAATATTTTTATTTTTTTTTTGTACTTGATCGATGTATAATTGCATGCATATATATACACATATACGTTAGTAGGAAATTTTAGATGAATTAATGCTTTTTTTTTTTCATTTATAGATCATAAATGATATTCTTGAAAACAAAAATATTCTATGTTAATTTATATCCTGTGTTTCTGTAACTATATACCCCGTGGAGCTGAATGAACTTTTGCATATAGTAGGAACACTGGTGGTCAAACTGACATGTAAACTCTTAAAATGTTGCCTTTTGAAGGTCAGTGGTTGTTTGGCATTATTGTATTAACATTTTAAAAGATTTCCATAAAGTGAAAAAACATTTGAAAACGCTTTTGAGTTTAAAAAATTCTGCTTAAATTTTCAGAGGTGTCTCTACTTTAATAGCATTCAATACTAAATTAGGAAACACCATTGTTAAATTAGACATACCAAATTAAAAGGTTATGTAATATGGCTTTGCAAAAATTTTGATTATAGAAGCTTTTATGTTACACAAATACTTTCCATATATACTATATAGTATAATATAAATGTATGGTAAAATATGTTTATAATTTTATAAAAAATATAATTATAATATATTCTATTTTATATATTTAATGAAAAAATATAAAGTAGACACTTTCTAGAGGTTCCATTATTTAAAGCTATAAACTAGTTCACTACATCTAGAACTCAAAAAGGAAATAACAAATTGTTAGTTCTTACCTTTTTTGATTTAGTTTTACCAAATACTTAATAGTGGAGCTTAACTCTAAGCTCAGCTCTAGTTAAACATCTAAAAACACATCTCATGAATTTTAAAAGTGTTTCCTTAAACAATTTTATCATTGACCATATAAGTCTCAAATAATCTTTTCATATTAACATAATATGCTATAGTGTATTATATTATGGAAATATATTTATAATTTTATGAAAGTACATTTAATATTGTGAAATATAATATATTTTTGTTGGAAGGATTAGAATTTATCATATGGAAATCATATTAATTTCAAAAATTTTTCTAATCCTTGTAGGAATTTAATTCTTTATGTTTTGAAAAATAGCATTTTTAGGATTGGCCTTGCATTAATTAGATCAGATTTGAAATCAATAAAAGAGATTGATTTATACCTAATATAGATATCACAAACACAGATCTTAAGGTGAAAATACAAGCCCAAACCAGTTCCAAAACCAGTCTCCACTAAAAATGGCATAGTGTATAGTGAAACTGATTCAGCAATATAACTTTCAACAAAACTGCAACCCAATTGTTTGGATCGAACCAGGGGAGTTGTTTCTGATATCCCCTGAATTTTTCTTGCAAAATCCCGAGGAAAAACTAATATATATCAGTTCCAAATAGCTGAGCTCAAACTGAGAAAAACTGAGAGACAAAAGGGTGTAGAGAGAATAAGAAATTGCAAAAATATGAAACTGTCTTGGACTGGTTCGCCCCCTTCTCTTACGGAGCTATCTCTTAATTTAATTAGGAGATAATCCATATCTAAATCAGATTTGGATTCTAATTAAAGATATACCTTATTTTTTTATAAGATTAGGTGCTCTATACCTAGATTCAAACCTAGATTTGCCCCATGTTAAGCTGTTATGTGACAACTAAATTAATCATATTAATTATGAGCCTTAGGCCCATCAACTATAAGACTTACGAACCAAGGGTGTTGTATGGCCAATTTAGGCCTGATTTGTATGGCATGGGGCTCTATAATGACCTCACATAAGTCTACATGGGTTCGGCCCAGCTTTTATGAAAAGGCTTGGTTGAATTCACTATTAAATGCTCTTAGCAAATTACTATGGGCTCAATATGGGCCCGACATTTACACTTAAATGATTTTTGAATTCAACCATCTTATCAAAACCCAAGTATAATGGACTTAAGTAAGATAAAGTCCATCAGATAATCAACTCTTAATGGTCTTTTACACTTAACCTCTCGGCTCATAATGATCAAACAATGCCCGACAGGGAAGGACCTCTCCCATGGTTGCAAAGTGTAGTGACGAGAATTAAAATATTTTGTAAACATTTTTTCATAAAACATTAATATATATATATATATATA